AGGGTGAGCTGCCTGGCTGCTGGGCCCCAGCTGGGATTTGTGCCCAGCCCTGGCCTCTGGGGAGGGGGGTGGTCTTTTGCTTTTGTTTCCTGTTGGTTTTTGTTGGGGGTTGACTCCATCCATTTGGATCTTTCAGGGAGGTTTGGGGAGATATATATATTACTTTTTTTTTCTGTTGTCGTTGCTATTTTATTTCCAAAAGGATGACAGTCTGCGTCAGGGCAGGGAGGGGTGCAGACACAGGGTATGCCTCAACATGGTGTCCCCAGCCCCTTCCCAAAGGCCCCAACCCCCTGTCAAGAGGAATCACAGGCCAGGCTGGAAGGGCGAGATGGAGACACAGCCACCAGCCTGACCAAGGGGACAGCTGGGTGGTGGCACAGACCGAGGAGTGTTTGTCTTTATTTTCTGCAGTTCTTCCCCCACCCCAACATGCCCCCACACAGACACACACAGGTCCTGCTCAGACTGGGTGTTTTCACTGCACTAGCTGAGGGTGCTGCCAGAACCCTGTTCATGGCTGAAGAGGATACAGCCACCTGAGTGTCTTTCCCTGACACACTTCATGCAAGGTGCGTTGCTGCTGCTGTAGTGCTCATGGCTTTTTTGGGAGGGGGGTGTTGCTGGGTTTATTCAGGAGGCAAAGGGGAGCAGGATGACATGGCAGGGCAACATGTGGATCCAGAGGGTTCTGCTGCCCCTGGACTGCTCTAGTTTCGTGCAAGTGGCTTCAAACCCCACAGCTTTGGTGTTTGTGTGGTGGGTTTTCCTGATTGGGTTATCCATGGCTGGCTGGCATGGCAGGACAGATGTTGTGCTTGGGGGTCTCACGCAGAGGCAATACAGGTTTCATTCTTGTTCTCCCATGCGCACAGACTTCCCAAACACTGAGGTTGGCATGATTCATTTCCAAATCTCTTTCTTCAGAAAAAGTGAAAGCAGGGGCTTAATGGAGGGTATAACCCTGTGGAAGCCCGTGTGCTATCTCTCTGCCTCCCCTACTTTCTTCAGTGTCCCGGGACTGGGTACTGGTGGCATCTGCCAGTGGCTCTGCCATCTCCTTGCAGCCAGGAAGGTGGCTGTGGCTGGCACCTATCCTTTTTCTATTGCAACTAAATAGCCTTAATCAAAGCCAAGAGTTGAAACTGCTGATGGAATCTGGTGGCATTCGGAGGGCTGGACTGAGGGCTGGGACTTTACCCTTCTAGAAAAGTACTGGCTCAAAGGGGCTATGCCTGGATGGGTGTGCCAGCCCTCCTGCATAACACCAACCCTTTCACATGTAAAGGCAGTGGTCACCTCCAAAAACACCAGAGCCCTCACAGATCTGCTCTTGGAAATGCAATGTGGGAAGTCACAGGTGACTTTCCGTAGCTCTCACATTGGCAAAAGGGTCTGTTTAAGCCTACAGACTCTTCCTCATCCCCACTTTCCTTGTCCCGGCACGGCTTTACTTTCCCTAGCAGTGCACAAACCACGGGCAGGGCCTTATGCCTGAGCGGTACCTTTCAAATGCAAGCACAGACTTTGAGGAAGAGGAGGGGGAGGTGAGGGCTGGGTTCCCACATATGGACACACTGGCTTTTTGGGAGGTTGGAGGCTCCCAGGCAGCACTAGGTTTGAAGCTTGGCTGAGATTTTGTGCCTTCTTTGCTTAAAATGAGAAAGAAAAGAAAATAAAAAGGAGAAAAGAAAAAAAAAATCCAACCTCTCTTTGTTCCCCCTCTACACAACTCCATCCAGAATGGGTGCAAATCCCCACAACAGTGCAGGCGGGTGGTTGCTCTGTGTGCGCATACACACGTTCCACTGGAGCACTCCTCTTCCCTGCCTGTCTGCTCACTTTGCTGCTGGGTGGTAGGATTGATGGGGGAAGAAGAGTGGCTTTAGAAACCCTGATGTGGGAGGGGAAAAAAACAAAAAGCCAATCAAAGAGAAGCCCAGACACATTCTCTCTGCTTTTGTAACAACCCCTGTGTGACATTTGCAGGAACCCTGTCCTCAGCAGGCCCCCTCCTCTATTGGGAAAGCTCTTCTGGTTCCTACTCTCCATGAGACTGTTTGCTCCTCTTTCTTTGTTCTTTCTAATTGTCTAAAATTCAATAAAATTTTATTCATATAAAAAAAAAGGACTTCTTACTTCCTGCTGCTGTTTCCACTCACTCCCAAGTGCCCCCCTCCCCGAATTCTGGAACTACAATGAATTTGGCTGTTAAAACTCATCCTTGATGTGGCTGGCAGTAAGCAGTGTCTGTGTATCAAAGACTTATATGTTAGTAGGCCAGTTTGGTAGTGAACCCTGGTACTATAGCCTTGTTTTTCTCATTCATAATAGTCTGACATCTGTCCTTGAAGGTGTAATTTCATAGGCTTACAAGAGTCTCTACTTCTGTAGACAAAGGTGAGCTTTATTTTCTGTCATTTAGTGGGAGAGATACTTTGCTGTTTTGAGTGATGTGGGAAAATGTTTTTTAAAAATTGCCTGAGTTGGCTCATAGAGTTTCCAATCTGAAACACAGCATGTTCATCTCAGATTCAATGGCTAACCAGGAAAGTTCTCGCTGACTTCCTTGGGCTTTTGAGTAGGTTCAATGGGGGAAACTATCAGGAAGTTAACAAAAATGCTGATCCCCATAGACAGAGCATGGGAAATTTCAGTGTTTGAGCATTCACACTTCCAGGACTCAAGGGGATGGGGAAGTACATGCCTCTTAGTTTGTACCAACAGATGCTAGCAGAAAGCTAGCATTAGTTAGGGCAATCTGATGTTTTGCCAAAGATTTTGCATTTTTCTCTCCATGTTTCATTTTCCCTGCTTCTTCTTTAAAATCCCCAGATATTCTGAGAATGATTATTAAAACCAGAAACCTACAGATCCAACTGCAGTGGTAATTCAGCCCTGCTGCACATTCTTCATGTTCTCATTCCTTGTTATTTTTCAACAGCTAGTTTAAAATATTCCTGTAAATGTGTTTTCAGCTATAGGCTCTACAGTAAATGAGATGACTGCATTGCCGTTTTTGGAAAGTTGCTGTAGGAATCTTCATGTTTGCATTTTTCGTCTTTTGATTGTGCAGCCTTGATGTGACATTAATAGCATCTTTGCATTTTATTCCCATGATAGCCCTGTCAGTATTCTGCTATACTATCCATTCCTTGTCATTTGCTGGCCCCTTACACCATTCTTCTGCATGTCTCTATCTATTGATCCAGAGCAGAATTTCTTAAGATATAGGATAGTTTGCTAGGTTTGTGCAGCACCTAGTATGCTGGAATTTTAGCCTGTAAATTGTACCTCATGAGGTATTGCTGCATTACAAATATTTAACCCAAACTAGTACTGGTTAGATGACTCGATAGTGTTCCAAGCGTGACTATTTATCATCAAGCAAACAAAGGTCCAAGCCATTACAGTTGCAAGTGGAAGTCACTTCTGAAACGTTTGAGTTTGCTGACAGCCTGCAACGCCAGCTGTGTAGTAAGAATTGTTCGCCACAGTGGATGCCTCAGATGTTACTTCCAATGTCAGTACCTATCAATTATATCACCTGCCACCAAAGAATATCAGAAGGAAACTTCTTCTGGCCTGAGGATTAACTGTACGTTTGAGTGCTGAGACAGAGGAACAAGCATAAGAGGATGTTTCACACCTTAGAAGTGGACATGTTTTTAGAGGTTGATGTAGATGAAAGCTCAATTTAAAACATTTGAGAATTCTGATTTGTAAACTGCCAGAAATTTTTTAACTTACACAGCTTTTGGACTTGAGTCTGATGATTCATCTGAATGAAAAAAAAATAAAATTACCCAGACGCATGCCAAACTTGCCAGAATACAGATGAGTTTCTGACGGAAGCTGGTGTATCAGATGGTGTCCTGTCCAAAACTGCCTGGCTTCTTCATGAGGACCTTAGATGCTCAGGAGATCAGTCCTCCATATGCCATGGTTTATGTCCTCATAAAGAGTACCTTGAATCGGGGTAACCTCAAATGACACCCAGGACCAAGGCAACTGGGTGATTGATTTGGTACTGGGCAGAGGAAATCAAACTGAATTTTTTTTATTCCTCCCCCAAGTAAAGATATTGGGAGAATTTTCAGGATTAATTTCTGGTTTTGTCAAACACATTGGTAAGTTTTTGCAAGTTACTGGTTTTCGCTTGGAAGCAACATTTTGCATGCCTGTTTCATCTATGTGCCTGCACTCTACTCTCATCTACTTTGTGTCTGCTGGTTTGTGAACAAGTGATTTGTGATCCTCTTCTATTAAGTGGATGAGTCTGTGCATGTGTGTGACACCAAGTGTACTCAAAATGGTCCAACAGATTCTTTTAAGAGGGTCTTGAAAATTTCTAAAACAGAGGGCAGGGAAAACTGAGGAAGAGATCCCTTTCAAGTTTTTGTTTCAGAGCAAACCCAGCAGGCCCTCCTATTAACTTGTATGTCCTCTGTTAAAGGGGGGCCTGAAGCAGAGCTGTTGTCAGGTGTCTTGATGACTGAGTTGCCCTTCTACCTGTGCTTTTTCCAAGTGCTGCTTGGCTGTCCTGCCTGCAGCTTTCTCTGATGACAGCAGAGCAGGGGTTCCACCACTGTGTCCTTATTAGAGTTCTTGTGAGTGAGGCTTATGAGGATCAGGAGTACAGATGTTGAGAAAACGAATTCAGAATCCCTGAGCTACATCTCTCTCCTCAGGTGGGGAGTAGGTGAACATCAGGGATAAAGCAAGCCTTGAAAGAAGAGAGAGTAAAAGGCTGTGGCTCTTTTTTTTTC